GCATAGCTACGCTAGTCTGCTGTAACAATATCTCAGTGCGCTAATCGAGTTTTCAATTTAAATTTAAAGAAGCATTCCTTTTAATACGCTCCTGTTGAAAATGATATTAAATTGAATCAAAGGTTCCTGTTACTTGATAAAAATTCTACTGGTTTTGTTGTACACAACGCAACATTAACTGGTGAAGTACGAATTTACATTTCACAACACTTCATGGCATAAGTGATACATTCCCTTTTAGTAGAGTGCCTTAACTCAAGTTAACATACGTAACTTTTACCCGGCTATTGATTTGAAAAATAAATATCCTTTTGAACCTGGGTCTTACTACTTTCGGAGAGGTGGGGAGGGGAGGGGTGGGCTCCCTTCTTTCGGGGGTTCGCTACTTCGGGGATTTATTAGCGGCCACAATTTCTTGATGTTACTTTCGGAGAGTCGTTAATTTTTGAAGTGTACGGTATGTCAAATGAAGTTTGTCTTTACGGTAATAGTGAACAATGACTCCCATTTTCGACTGTCGGTTACCTGTGGGCCAACTGTCGGTCGACATGTTTCTGACACATTACCGGCAGCCGTCCGACAGTATTTAAGCGGGCCAAAAATTGACCCAAAATACTTACAGTTGATAATTAAGAAATAGACATCTGTCGGTCGTACCGTTCATAACTATTTACTTGATCCAATTTGAACGGGTAAAATAGGCAAGCCCCCCCCCCCNCTCCCCCGGGTAGGGCGGTACTCTGAGGAAAATTGGTTGCGGTGTGCGGCCCGCTTCCCAAAAACCTTACCCTATTCATGACCAAAATCTGCAGTTTCCTCTACCCTACTTATGACCTGACCCTTAGAACTAATCAATACCCTGTTTCAGACCTGCCTTCTAATTAGTTACCTAGTTCAGACCGATGTTAAAGGCATTGTGAAGGGTTTTTGTTGATGTTCTTATCGATGATGATGGAAGAGTAGCTTCTTCTAAAAATATACCCAATTCAAGACTGGAGTGCAAAAACCATACCCTAGT